ATTGATGATTTAGACATCAGTGACAGTATTACTTGTGCTTGCATGTCTCTGGGGCCTTGGCACAGTCCATTGGCTACCGGTGTCCTTTAATGATTTATGATTGAAGTTAGCCCATGAAGTCCCCAGAGCTTCCCCCAGAGCGGGAGGCACGGGGAGTGACCGGTTTTATGGCAGCACTGGGAATCAATTATGCTAACGGTGGCTAATGAATGCACTTGAGGGAACTGCTCCGCGCACTCAAGGGCCATTTTTTACCATTTGCATATTGATGGCAGAAGGACAGCGGCCACTTTCGTCCCCCTTTGATGAAGCGCCATGGAAATGGACTTCCGTGTGTTCCTCTTAGTCTTACTGTGGATCACTTTAACATTTCCTTTCTGTCTCTGCTTTTAGAGACATGGTTTACATTTAGCCTAGCAGATCTTATTCATTAGTGAAAACAATTATTTACACCAACGGTCTCTTCCTCCCCTCTTCAGACCGAGCGTCTTTCTCTCTTTCGATAGTCTGAAGTCATTTTCAATTAGGGCTCTTTTGCGGTCGGAGCTGGAAGTGCTCCAGTTTCTCCCCAATGGACTCTGATACACACAGTTAAAGAGGAATATTGTTGAGGCCTTTTACTGCCTCCAAGGTTAACATGGATTAAAGTCATCTGTTTGCAAAGATGGACGTCTGGCTCCCTCACTCACTAAAATGCATTAAGGTAAATAAAGCCAGGCCCACGGAGAAATCACTATGTCCGCTGCGTCTCAGTGAAGTAAAGAAGGCTATGAATATGAAATGCGCTATGAATAAGTTATGTTGTGGGGGTAAGATTGCAGAAAGGACGAGGTGTGAGATTAAGACTTTTTCTGAATGCCGTTGTGTGGACTTCCTCATTCAACGAGATGATGAAAGTGATACATTTTTCATAGCAATTTTATAGCAGATCAGAACATATTTTTTGGAGAAATAAAATTAATTTCTTTCTTGCAGAAAGTAAGATGAGATGATTTATACAAGTAGTTTTTTGGAGGGGTGATGAATGCAACCCTATATATATAAATATATATTTATTTTTATTATGCAATTTTAACATATTGTGTCCTTTATCGTAATACAAGAGAGTCAATGCGTACTTTCATATTCCTACCCTACTGTACATTTAACTAAAGCTAATGTGAAACACCCGTCCCTACGGATGGGCATTGATAGTTGATTTGTGCTCATTTATTTTAAGCTACACAATGCTAACAATGTTCTGACTCCAGCTTAACAAACAGATCCGTGAGTGGTATTGATCCTCATATTTTACTCTCAACAAGAGAGCAAAAACAAAAGGTCCCAAAATGTCAAACTATTCATCAAAATGTTCAACCAACTCACAAACTGGTGCCTATTATGTCCTTCAGCGTGGCCGCCACCATATATCTCGTACCTGGGGACGGTAAAGTTTGGACACTGATAAACTTCTAGAAACATTCATGATTGATGCCTTCACTCAGTGGAATATACGGAGGCAGGCAGGCAGGCAGTGTCGCAGGCTCTCACTAATCTCTGGCTCCTCAGGGGTAAAAGAGCAGCAGCGAGTGGGTGAGCAGTTAGAGAAGGAGGTGTTAGGGGAGAGTAAGAGAGACGGAGGTGGAGAAAGAGAGAGAGGAGAGACAGAGAGAGAGACGGCAAAGGAGACACTAATGAACGCAGACAACAAAGACCCTAACCTGAGCTCCGAGCCCCTGGAGACACGCAGGGGTTTTTCATTGGGTCAATAAAAGCAGTGGACCGCGTCTGCATTGACTTGCCCTTCAAGCACCCGCCTAACTGCAGTGGGAGGACTTTTGTTCAAGGTTGCTGGAGTTAAAGGGGGAATATCACTGAGTTTAATATGCAAACCATTGATCATGGGTGTCTGTGCACGGGGACAAAGGACCTGCAGAATGTTGTTTATGTGCGATGTCAGATTAATGATCATTTACAAAAAAAGACTCCACTGGGGGGAAAAGACAGGATTCACGCATCAGTGCATTGTATTGAAAGCGGACAGTTGAATTTAAATCACATTAGGTCGGATGCTTAGTTCAAGAACAACATGTTGATTGCCTGTCCAATGGATTTGGGGTTTTTTGCTTTTTCATTTGCAAACTCTCCAGGGGGAGCATTTAATTGCATCTGAGAAGAAATCAATTCTTAATTTAAGGGGCAAAAGCTAAAACACTGAAAACTCCGCGTTTTCAGCACAGAGATTGGAGGAGAAATATGTTTCCCACTGGATATATTTCGTGGCACGTTTCTCCGCCAGAGTCTCGGGAATGCAGCCGCCAGAAGAAGGAGAGTGAGTATAGGCCAAAAATCAGCATGACGAGATATTGACTCTTGGCTTGTAATTTCATTTTATGCACCAAGTGGCAAACAAGATATCACACTGTTCATAATCCTCAGCGTGCCTGAACACACACACACACACACACACACACCTCCCACAGATTCTTCCTTGTTATTAACGGGGAATCTCAAGCTGTATCAGTGCCTCTGTGAGGGGGGAGAACCTTGAGTCTGGAGCCTTCACACCAGGACTCGCACCTGAAGGGTATGGAGTCAACACACACACACACACACACACACACACACACGAGCGCCTGCTAAGTCCCCCCACGTCTGACATATGTCACTCCCGATCTGTTCAGCAGGCCACACGGCGTCCCAGTGGCGTAGAGGACTGCAGAGGGAGTCGAGTCGAGCAGATAGAGAAGTGAGACGACTGAACGAGAGGGCGCAGAGGGAGAGAGGGGGGTGGGGGAGGCGGGGTGAGGTGGGGGGGGCAGGGAGAGACGCTCGTTGGTTGCTACCCTCTCCGTGCTAATTGGTAGTTTGGAAGCAACACCATCTGTTCTTTAAGAAAGTCAGATGCACAGTGGAAATAGATGCCACCTCTACTGAATACATTTACCAGCAGCCAACGCAAATAACTCAGCAGCCCCGGGACGTCTTTCTGCAGAGAGCAGGACACCAGCTAGACAGCAGCTGTTATATTTGTTACAGTAGAATGTTTAGGGATTTTGATCTAGTTCTGGGTCACTGCCAGGGAGACCTGAACACTGTAAGCATGTGATGGCGGAGAGAGTGAGGAGGGAAGTGAGTCAGTGGGGCTCTTTATGTGCACAAACAGCTCACAATCCACCTGTAACCTTGCAGATTCCTGTTTAGCGCTTTGGCAAAGTGACAAATGGAAGTGGATTGCCACCATGTGGTCGGGTGATGGAATCACACCGAAGGAGCTGAGAAACTCTGCTTTGTCTTTACTGCAGTTGCATTGTGTTGGAGGATCGATACATCGTACCGAGATTTGGAGAGGAACACTTTTCATTGACTCCTGGTGGAAACAAACATCTGTAACTATCCGGAACAAAAGAGTCTTCAACTCCATTTAACCTCCACACACACACACACCCACACACACACACACACACACACAAACACACACACCACTTTTAAACTGTTTCCATTTGTTTCATATATTTTTGATCAATGTTTTGTGATATTATTTATTATTATTTGGTGAATATTCAGCTTTAGCGGCCTGGATCCTCATAAACACTCTAAACTCAACATAAAACTAAGGATGCTCGCTTGACTGTACACATTCTTGTGTCATACAGGATTTTATATCGCAAAATTTTGTCGGTATTTTTATTAAATTATCACTTTTTTATTATTATGCAACGACCCCCTCAGCCGCAGCAGAGAAAGGTTAAATGAGAAGCATTAAGCTGAAAAATGAATCTATACCAGCATCAGTTGTACCAGGGAGTATAAAGCAGCTCCTCTTGGGATTCCAGGCACACGGCTCAATGCAATGACCGTGTTTTACATCGGCAATCTGTTACAGTGGGATCTCCCCAGCTTCAATCCCATGGATGATTAAGCTGGATAATTAAGGTTTTTGGACATTTTCCACAGAGGAGCAGACGTGGCAGCTGGTGACATTCATGCATTCCCAAACACAGAGGAGGGAGTTACAATGAGGCCTCCATTCATTCCAGTGATCACAAAGTCTGCTCTTGGCACCGGCTCAAAAGCAATCAAGCTGTTGTTGAAAATAACTGTTTGTGTCGCTCTTTGTTGCAATGTGGGCATTGTAACTTCCTCTATTTTCAGAATTATAGAAGCCATAGAAACCAGCCAAATATGGGTTTCTTTTCAACAGAGAGGTTCTTGCCAAACAAAGAAACCATGGAGATTTTTTAATAACATGTTTGATATTTTGGTTAATATCTCTAACAGGTATGATGCAATACTATCGTTTTCATTGTTTCTTTTATAGCTTTCTTGGATAGGAAACAAACGACTTCTTGCTTTGCTCTACTGTTGTTCTTTACTTTACGTTCATTGGTGGGATAAATTAGGACTAAAATATAAATAAACTAATGCATGCCTTTATTTCCAGCAGGTTAGATTGCTACAATGATTTTTTTTCTGACCGCACTTAATTAGAAACTCCTGATCAACTTCCTTCCGCTCATTCATAATGTTGCTGCCAGAATCATCAGACCAAATAAAGACCAAAAAAAAACAGGTTATGCCCAGGAATAAAGTTTAGATCAAACTATTAATGCTTGAAACAGTCTGAACGTTCTGAACATTATGCAAATTAGGAAGCAGTAAAGTTTGTCAGAGGAACCAAGGTCATTTCTCAGTGACCTTTGTCAGTGATGAAGTATTCAGACCTTAATTAATGTCACATTTTGAACACACCTACATTTGCCAGTATGCTGTCCGTAGCTTTTTGAGCTTTTTGAATAAAAGTGGATTATATAAATGAAGCCCAGTCCAGTATTATTCACAATATATACCAAAATAATTAAAAATACTGATTATACTGAATAACCTGTATGCAGTATACTGTATACTGGTATACCACCACATTGTTGGTTTAAGTAGCATACATTTTTTAAATGTAAATTTAAATGTAAATTTGTGTCATTTGACGCTCCAGTGTAGCATAAACTGGCTCAATTTCCCAGAATGCTTTGCTCGAGCGGAAACGCCGGGGACTCCATGGAAACGGAAAACCGGCGTGCTATCTTGGGAGACGGCGCACAGTTCGCTTGCTAGTGCTAATCCGGCTTCCAGATTATAAACATTTCATTCGCCGCCTCCCTGCCACGATGAGCCGCACGCCGGATGCCAGAGCGAGGTGAGCAACACTCCCCGGTTCCCCAAACGTAAACACGCACACGGTACGTTAGCTAACGTTAGCTCGCGGTCAGCTTGGGCTTTGCAGGCGTAACCAGGATCGAGGTACCTGTTGCGTGAGATGATGAGGTCCCCCCCCCTTCCCCTCGCCATCCGATGACCGCCACCACAATCTCACGCGTCACTCTCTCTGTCTCTCTCCAGGGACAACCAGACGAGACAGATCCAGGAAAACATCACCAACGTGGAGAAACACTTCGGAGAGATGTGCCAACTGTTCGCCGCCTACGTGCGTAAAACAGCCAGACTCCGGGACAAGTCCGATGTCCTGGTTCGAGAAATAGGCGTGTATGCAGACACGGAAACTCCACAGCTGAAGAAGGGTATGAAGCAGTTTGCTGACCACCTGGCCAAGATCCAGGACTACCGCCAAGCGGAGGTAGGAGGCCGGTGTCTTATTTCCCCGCCGCTTGGACATTCATTCATGCATTTTGTGTTCTTCTCAGTCTAACTTGGTACTAAGCTGCAGGTACTCGCTTTGCAGGTGGAAAGACTCGAAGCCAAAGTCATAGAGCCATTAAAAAGCTACGGAGCAGTGGTGAAGCGCAAACGGGTACGTGTGAGGGCGGTGAGCTGCATGCATCCTGATTCCCGATGAGCCAAACGGCAATTATTGTTAAATCTGTAGCCGAAGGCTTAGATGTTGCAGGATTGAATGTGCGCTGGCCAACAAGGGGGAGAATATTCGGTGTTGTTACCACTGTGTGGCCACATGAAGGCAGTGTTGATTTAGTGATATCTTCCCACTTCTGCACTGTTGTTGTTGTTATCTCCCCCATTCAAGTCATCTTTTCGCTAAAATCTCAAATACTCAAAGTATGCGCCACAATCGCACAAGATACTGAGATTGGTTGTGGTTTGTCATTGCATAGGCAGTGTGAGGCGCCAAAAAAAACATGATCATTAAGCTGCACCCAAAGTCTGATTTACCTCCCGGCACAAATGTTTGAATATTTGACTCTCGTTGTTCATTCTCATAATGACGACTCCGTCCTTGTGTGCTTGTGCATCCATACAGGATGATCTGAAGGCGACTCAGAGTGCCCGAGACAGAGAAGCCAAACAGATGGCTCAGCTTGAACGGACCAGACAGAGGAATCCCTCAGACAGGCAGATCATTGTATCCATGCCTTGTTTCTCAAATGCTCCAGCATAAAAATACATACAATGTTACAACAACCACCCGTTTACTGCAGGCAACAACTTGGGCATAACTTAGTTTTTTGGTAATCATAGATATTAATTTATAGCGCCACAGGGAAATAAGCCCGGAACCAGTTTGAATGTCTATCCTACAGAGTTTGAACAGGTTTTACTTAATAGTATTTTCCCATTTGTTTGATGCAAGCTCATATTTTGGATGTTTCCTTGACCACACTTTCAGTCTCAGGTGTGTCCCGTGTTATTTGCGCATCTCAAACCTGGTGATGTATGACTACAAAGATGCTCAAATCCTCCAATATGTTCAGTCTTTTAATTTACGCTTTATTAAATGTGTGGCACATCATGGAAATAATGAACTCCCTGGGGTTCCCCTCTTTTCACTCTAGTTATACACATGCACGACCTGCAGCACTGTAAGAAGCAAAAGTATTAGTCGCCGCTCATTTTATGTAGCTCAGATTTTCAGATGGACTGTCTTTCGTTGAGCGGTTAAACTGTACACGTGCATGATACACAAGTGTCCAAATTGCAGAAGATATTGTTTTCCCCTATAAGTATAAGAGAAATACTGTTATGTTGTTTAAAAACAACGTTAGCCAGAACCTTTTGTGGTGGTCTAACATGTTTGTAGCATGTTTTATACTCATTTTGTCTTCCCATTAGGCTGAAAGTGAGCTCCAGAGAGCAACCATGGATGCCACGCGGACCACCAGACAACTGGAGGAGACCATAGACGAGTTTGAGAAGCAGAAGATCCGGGATATCAAGGTCTGCTGTGCTGAGCTTTCTATCCACCTCAAAACAATTGCAGTGGTTGGAACTTTTTGCATGTATGTAATTGTGAATTGTGTATGTAATTGTGATTCATTCAAGTAGTCCAGAAGTCTACTTAATACTTCATTATTATCAATGTGTTTCCCCTTACAGAAAATCTTTGGTGAGTTTGTGACGGTGGAGATGTCGTTCCATGCCAAGGCCTTGGAGGTGTACACCTTGGCCTACCAGAGCATTCAAAGTGTGGATGAGGAGAAGGACCTGGAGGTAGGCCGACTCTCCGCTTAAGCTTAACCAGCATTTATGCGTTTTGTGCAGAGGAAATGTTTAAAAGTGTGAATTTATGTGCAGTTATTGACCTGCCATGTTTCACGGTCAAGGAAGTATAATTAAATGTGCTCATGTACTTGAGAGGAAGGCCTACCTAGTTGTGTGCACACCCCTGATTAACCTGAGGGTTATATTTAACAGGTCCATGCCGTCATGTTCTTAAGCAACCTTTACCCAACAGCTAATCGCTCATGTATGCTCTGTAGGCCACACCCTCTAACTCGTGTGGTAACTTTGAAGTAACCTGTGGTAAACTCTTCCCAACTCAGCCTTATAGTGAGCTACTTTCTTCTGTTTACAACTTGATTGAGTGGTTTGCTTTTACTATTTTAAGAGTCAAAGCCTGTAGTGAACAAACAGAGGATCAATGATTCAGTGGGCACGGTTCTTCCTGTAGTTGCCCTTGCGTTATATTCCTCCACCCCATCTCATCTGTGTGTGTTTTGCACTGAATCATCGCCCTTCCATTCATATTGAAGCGAAACTCCTCACCCAGACCAGGCTGTTTTTCAATGACTCATGGCACAAGGCATGGCAGATTTAATCATCTGAAGAAGGCACAATGACAGGCATGAAGATCACCCTGACGGAGTCCTTGTGGAATTTCTTTTTGGTGTGGTTTCAATGGCAGTTTGCTGCGCTATCATAGGCATACCTGTTGAACTGCTTTGTTTATGTGCGATTAAAGAAAGATGGAGAGGATTTGCGTTGTTCAAAGTGGTGCATTTTTGTTCATGTAACATTTAATTTTGACATGTATTGGGTTAAAATCCATAATTAACTCCATAATTCATCACTATGTGAAGAGAGAACCATTTTACATTTATTGTTTTGTGTTTTTATCTTGCATTCTGTTCAGTGAGAGGCATTAAGCATACCGATAAGTGTGTGTGTAGGTAGACGTTGCTCTTTGGAAAAACATAGTGCCTACTGTCTTTGGCAGGTGTTCAGGAGCTCGCTGCACCCCCCTGACTACCAGTCACGCTTAGACATAGTGCGAGCTAATTCCAAAACCTCCCTTGATCGGACCGGGTCCTTTCTGAGTACATCAGAGACCTTACAGGTAAGATACAGACAGTGCAAATATGCTCCAATGTGAACATGAGAATTTCCCCCAAAAATCTTAGGTATTTAACTTTTGAATTTGGCAGTTCTACACGTCTTTGAAGACCGAATATAAATGCTCCTTCCTTCCGCCAACTGCGTAGTCACCCCCACGCTTGTCAAGACTAGTGCTCAAATAATGTCTGAAATAGTTTTGCCAAAGTTCACAGGCAGCTTGAGTCTCCAGAGACGCCTTTGCATGCCAGTCGCATCGCATGCCAGTCGCATCATGCATTTCCTCCCACGTTCAGTTCACCCCACCATCTTAACTGAGGCACTGCATTAACTTGGCACTTTGATACAGCGTGCTTGTTAAATTCTTCATTGTTTTATTTCTTTGAAGATGTGTTGTCTTCAGCTCTCGCAGTGTGTGTTCGGATGTCACATTGTATCTACAGATTGCCGTGGCAGATTGCAGTTGGCACGTCACCAGACTGTGCATCATATGCCACAACTTGTGATCGTACTTTGCGCTGATTAGATTTGAGTTTCTGTTGCAATCTGCAATCTCTGCTAAGCAACGAACACAGAAAGTAGGCAGCACAGCTAGAAAAGTAGATTACAGACAGTCGTTTGAATGCTAACACACACCAAGGGAAAACTGCAAAGTGAAACTAACAAAAGTACAAAGTCTCATTCTTAGATCATACTCATGCCTTAGCTGTCCTTCAACATTAGACATGTCTGTGTTCATACAGTAGAACACTAATATTTGTATATCTAACATTAGGAATTTTGTGCATTTGGGGGCGTGTTTACACATGTACCTGTTTTGGCTCAGGGTGAAACCGGGAAGTACCTGTTGAGCTCATCAAATACCTACTAATTGTTTTATGTAGTAACTTGTTATCTGTTGCCACAGCAACAAAGAGCCTCCAGTCGGCAGACAAGAAGGGAGGAGGAGGAAGAGGACGACGAAGAGGATGAAGATGAATCAGAGGAAGACGAAGAGGAGGAGGAGGAGGACACGGATGATGAGCATTAATTTTTGGTCTCATTTTGTGTTCCCTGGTATGGAACGAAAGAGGACACCTAAAGGAAAACTGTCATTGCCAAAATCCCCACACAGGTGGTCTGAGCAGTATTGTAGTGGAAGTGTGCCGTAGCTGTGTTGAGCTTTGTAGGAGAACATGTCCTTAACTAACATTTGTCTTTGACATCCCAGCCAATTGTTGTCTTCTACTTTTTTTATATATAAAACATTCTGAAGTGTACATTAAATATATACAATACACATTCATATTGTACTGGATCTAGCATTGGATTTTATTGCAAAATGTTATTCATCTTTATGAATAAAAGAATGAAAATCCTTTTTTGTGTTCCAGTGAATTGCCGTTCTATAAAAAGTACACAGTGTGAACTCAGTCATTTAGCATAAGAACGGCAGCAGAGAGGTTGATTGTTATTTTAGAATCAGTCTAAGTGGCTGTAGTTTTGTGACAGTTGAGAGTGACTCATCCTTTCCACTGAAATGCAAAAGTTGTACGAATGAAGCTCGGGACATTTTGCACCATTCTGTCTGTTTGTCAGGATACAAGTGTGTGTGTTTAGTACATTGTGTGTTGTCTGCCACAGTGGAGGCTGATGGCTCTTATGTCTGTCTTGCATGAGTCACTCGACACATTTATTATTCCTCATCTACTCAAAAAAAATGTTTTGTCCTTAGACCAAATATAAAACACACACACACACATGCTTGTGACCTCATATGTTTGCACAGAAACCACACAAGCACATACTCCTGCACAAACACAACTCATGGAGCGGCCATGCAAGCAACAACATTTTACATACAGACAAATGACTGCTGATACTTACAAAGACAAATGAGGGAGACCAAAACCTGCCCTACAGCAGCAGTGATTATCTCGTCTACTGAGATAAAAGCTGCGTAGGTAGTGTGTCACCAGCCCTCTGTACGGTGGCATCTTAATGCATGCAATGGTTCCTGCGCGTGCAAACACAGTCGACAAACACCAGTTCTACTTTGGCGTACTGTAGATCTGAATGGCCTGTGTTGAGCAATGAGTCATCCCTTATAAAGTGTGTCTTTGTGTGAGTCAGAGAGCCCTTCCAATCGCAGATAAACCTAAAGGCTCCACTCCCTGATCACAGAGCAGAAGAATGGACGAGCTATTGGCGAGAGAAAGGATCTCTGAGAGCAAAAGCCTGCAAGTGAGCCAACATCCAAAAGTACAAAGGAAGGCAAAGCGTTAGTTATGAGTCATTGACTGCAAAAAGAAAAGAAAGGGTAGGAAACAAACAAGGATGCACATGCAAAAATCCAGATGTGAAGAGAAAGGAGGCAGGAAGAGGGACAGATGAGAGAGGTCAGTCACAGCCCCCGGTCCTCACCGTCGACTGTGACTCATTTGCCTCCAGCGTCGTGCCACTCCCATCACCTCCAACACTCACAGCGCACGTCAACCGCTGCAGAGCCTCGTGCCGCTGCTTTACGCACCACCTTTCCCTGCAGCCTTGCTCGGCTAGAAGCCGTCTCGTTTGATAAAAGTTGTTTGTGAGACATTGAAAATAAATTGCTGGTTTCTTCAAATAGGGTTCTGCACGGGAATTCCAAAAACTACCAATAAATGCAACTATTGGCACGTGGAATTAAATGGAAAAAGCAAACCAACTTGTTTTTTTCCCTGACTGCCCCCAAGGCACCAGCAGAGGGAGACGTTTAAAGCATTTCTAACATGCACTCCTGAGACATGGAGACATTGTGTTCTTTTCCATTCTTTTTCATAGGTAGCTGCAATCGCGTGTGTCTGTGTCACCGGTTATCTTCGCTGAGAAAGGCAGACGGTTTCTGGAAAGGCCACAAAAGACAGCTTGAAGCTGCTAGACAAATCCATTCCGAATTATAACTCTAAACCTGCCTAAATCATTGGGCTCCCACCCTCCATGAGATTGCAGTTGAATGCAAACAATATCATGTGTAAGGGGACGGAGTCCTTCACACTTTCTCCATATTCAAGTGAGAACCCGACCAGAGCCCATTGATTCCGCCTACTTTGTCTCATGCGGATTCGATATTGCAATTTTAGAATCTAAACGCAGGCATAGAGACATGTCTCAACGTGACATTTTAAATACGCACCATTCCATATTTTCCTTCCACCTGTAGCTGCACCAGTCTTTGATCTGGATGTATAGGGAGATATGCATGTGTCAAACCTAGTGGAATCAGTATCTGTGCTGCAGAATCCTACCATTGGCTCTTATAAACATCTTGCTCACAAAGAGGTAAGAGTTCCCTCCTCTCCCCCTCTGACTCTACTGCAGTCTTCCCCAGAGATGAGCATGCATCACTGTGTGTGTGTGTGTGTGTGTGTGTGTGTGTGTGTGTGGATGTATACGTGAAAGTGTATCCTGATGTTATTATACATGCATGTGTGCCAGAGTACTGCTGTACAGTTGTTTGGAATATTAAATACAGAGCCGTGCTGGCGGCTGTAAAATCGAGAGGCAGCATAGCCGGAGTGTGACTCACACACTGACTCACTGACAGCGCTGCTGGTGTGTGTATGTTTTGTGTGCATGTGTGTGTGTGTCTCCTTTGGCAGACTCACTGTGTGTTGCTGGTGTTCTAAGAACTCTCGACCCTGCCACAATCCCTGGATTTCGCACCAGCAAACAAGGTCACAAATGAGTGTGTAGGAGTGAATGTGTCTGTGTGTGTGTGTGTGTGTGTGTGTGTCTCTTCCTTCCTGCCACAACATATGTGTTGTGCATGTGCAACGGTCAGGCGAAGGAGCTTCACACTGCGCTGACCGCTCCCAGCACATTTAATTAACAGAGCAACGTGTCGACCACCGCGAGGCATCGTAAGTTAAATCATCACAGAGCAGAACAGGCTAAATAGATCGATATATCTAGATCTAGATCTATATACGTACAGATATATATATGGATAGACACAACCAGCTTTATCTCCGTGGTTATAATGCAAGTCAATCTACTCTGAGACAAGACCAATGAGCGCAGAGCTGCGTCTGATACTCCCTACAGGGGAAAACACATCTATGGAAACAGCCTGTAAGTAGAAAAACATCCAAAAGATAAGAATGATCATAGAAACTACTGGTTTAGAAAAGAATCGTTCAAACTAAATGAAAACTAGAAAATAACAGTACTACTGCTTCTAAAGTGGAGTAAGATCTGTTGTCATGCGATACGACGAAAAAACATAATTGGCCATTAGGTAATGTTAAGGGGTAAATATATGTAACGCCTTTCTCCCCAGGAGGAGGTTGTTGATGTCTGTGTGTGAGTGTTTTCACGTGTAACCACAGAATTAAAAGCGGGAGCTGCTCCGGCTTGTGTTGCCACCATGAACGGCTGCTCCTCCTCCCATTTACCTGATTTATGAACCAAAATGAAAGGCAGTGTACCTGTTGTCATGGACAGTAAATCATAACAGTTATTGTACAGTATGCATCCCGCATTCCACCGGCACAGGTTCAATCATAAATAAACGCCTGTGCGTAGAGTACCCCAAATCTGTGTGTCAGATGGGGTCTACTCCAGTACATCATCACGTGGCGAAGAGGCAGAAAGTGAGACTTCCTATTTACATTACATTACATTATATATCATTTAGCTGACGCTTTTGTCCAAAGCGACTTACGATAAGTGCATTTCAACCATAAGGATAGAAACTCAAAAGAACAACAACTTGCTATGGATAAGAGCCATTGTAAGTGCAATTTGTGCTACAATTTGTTAGTGTTTTTAGTCCAGGTGGAGTCGGAAGACGTGTGCCTTTAGTTTGCGGCGGATGCCGGATAGTGGCGTCACTTCGCAGATCCGTCCACAGCATAAATCCCCGTTTGCGAAGAATAACAGGGAAGTGAGAAACCTGTTATACATGCGTGTGCGTGGGAGGGTGTTCTCTACATTTTTATGGATTTCAAGTCATATCTTAAAAGCCCGTGTAAAAACTGGTCATCAAAAGGGTAATTCATCCAGATCAAGTTTTCCTTACAGTATCGTAAGAATACAGTATATTCCATTATATAGTGTCTTGTCCCACGTCCTAAGCAATGCTTACTGTGTGTGTGTTAAAGATCTGTGCAAGGCGTTGGACCTGATATCCAGTTTCGCCTTCATACTTTGCCCGTCTATTCTGCCCCGTGGCTGTTAACGATGTCGAAATCCTCCACTTTCAAAGGAATGGGAAGGACGCCGTGAGAGAAGGGTGAGCACGCGCCTGCCTCCGTGTATTGCACAAGTTGCTTATCAGTCAATTGTGTTGTGATCAGCGAGGGAGGCCTTGGCTCCGGCGCTCACTGTCACCTCAGCCTTGGCGTGCAACTCCTGTGCGTTCCTGTCTCTGTGTTTACCTTTCTTGTGCCTCTCACCAGCCGTTGGCCCGATATCAGTGGATCATTTCAACCACTTCCTAGTATAACAGTCCACCCCTATCAGCCCGCCTGTCTCCGTGCCACATTCCATTACAATATTAAACTATTATCATTTCCAACTTCAGCTCGGTTTCTGAACTTTGGCCGCGGATTAATTGACATTTCGCTCGGCCGCGCCACCTGCTGCTGCTCAATCAAGCTATCAGAGCTGCGACGGGCTTCCAAACCTTCAGCGACCCACCACCCGACCGGCCTGAATAGATATTATCTAATCTTTGGGAAATGTAAAAGTGATTTCAGAGAGAAACCCACAGATGGGTCCGTGATATGCGCTTGAAGAATATAACCAGGGGGTCAAACTGATGTAGCAACATAGGTGGAGGTTGGCGCTATAGATTACAGCACATGCACGAGCGTCTACGGAGGATCTGGGCTCTGGACGATGCTTCGCTAAGTGACTGCAAAGGGTTGAGAGACACGCAAAGTGGACGACAAAAAAAATCCCGTTTGACTCCATGATTATTATTATTATTATGATTTACACAGCTGATATAAACAGTAGCTGGATGAACCATCAGGTAAGTTGACCTCACTTGTATAAAAACCATGTAATTAAATGTTATATGAGCCGTTTTACTGCTGATTTACTCAAATGATATAAAGTACGTATTTGCCTTTGGTTTCTCTACAAACAGAGGCCACAACCTGCCACAGTCCTCGTGTCCCAGGTCATGATTTATGAAGTGGCTGAAAGGTGGGGGGGGGCATCGGGTATTTGTCTCTCCACGTACACAACAAGGCGGCTCTCTCCTGCCACACTCATAAAAGTCAGTGTTTCAACACCCCGCCTCTACCACCCCCCCGCCCCCCTTGTCCTTGCGCTTGTCTTCGGGCTGAAAAATAAAGTGAAACCAAAGACAGAATGTGACATGAGAAGCTGTCA